TTTCTTTTCTTTTAGTGAGGTGATATTTAATGAATTTTATTTAGTAGTTTTGGGAACACACCTGACTTGAGTATGGAATAACAGCTAAGGAGGACACCCACTAAGAAACGTGATCAGTAGTGTAAAATCTAAAAAAGATATTGTTTAGTACAAGAAATTGTTTAATACAGAATTAATATATATTACGACAAGCCTTACCCTAATACTAAGCCTAGAAACATATCATCAAATCAATCACCTTTAAATACATGCTTAAAGAAAGGATTGTCGCTTGGAAGTATTTAAACAGGTTTTGAAACGTGTGTCATAAGAAAAATTATGTGTGGAAAAAGAATTGAAATTTTTTCAAAATACTAGTGAGATCTAAATGCAGAACATAATATTGATAAATATGATAGTAAATAAAAAGGTATATTCTAATTCCTAAAATTACTACAATTATTATTGACATATATTTATATTTACATGTTTTTTCATTTATAGCAAAACATCGAATAATTATTTTAAGATTCTACCACATAATTATAAAAACGTTTAGCACTAACAGAATTTATAATCACATTTCCAATTCTTTCAAGAAATTTTAATAGTCCCAGTGGCGTCGGTTCCCAGTGAGAGGATGTTCAGCATTCTTGGTAATAATATTACCAATAAACGTACAATTCTTGAAACCAAGTGTTATAGAAAAATTGATCTTTTTAAAAAAATAAATTCCTTCGTTTTCATTTATGTTTCTTTATTCTGGTGCCTTAATTTTTGTTATTAATTACAGTTATCATTTTAAGTTTTCTATAATTGTCATTTATTTTCTCTTTCTAAGCTTTATTTTGAAATTATGCAAAAACTTAATCCTTTATCAACCACTGTTTTGACTTTTCTTCCTTTTCACGTTATTGCATCTGTTATTTCTATCAAGTATTTTATTATCCTTTCAGTATTCATTTCTTTCTTGTGTCATATAATAATATTAAGTTTGGTCAGCGGTATTAGTGACAATGCTTAAAAAAAATAAAATCTTTATTAAAAGTTATTCTATGAGATTTATAATACAATGACTTCTCAAGTGAGTGTATAACAAAATTTTGAATTTTCAAAATGCTAAGGCTCGGCCAATTTTTTAGTTTAAGAAACAACCAGCCGATAAGTTTTGAGTTTGAGTCATGAACAATAAAACTTAACGGTTAACTTTTTTGTTTTAGTATTTTGAAGCTGACAAATTGTTACTATTACTATTAATAGAGTATTAGTATTCGATAGAAATATATTCGAATTTCGTATCACCATATTCGAATTTACATCATACTAATACAGTCCATCTGAGAAAGTCGGTCAAATTTTTTACAAATTACGAATTCATTTCCATTTGAATTTTTCACTTTTTCAAAATGCTTCCGCACAAAACCATGTGTTACGATTCGTTTTTTTTAAAGGTCTTCTGGAACCACCGCTTAAATCATTGGAACTTGAAGCCAATGAACTATTGGACCTTGTATTGGAAGTGTTTTATTAGTTCCCATGTAAAATTATCATCAACAACACAATTACTATTGTCGTCATCATCATATTGATGGTATTGATTCTCTTCCACATAGAAATTTTCCATTTTGAATGATAAAACACAAAAATCGCAATTGGTCAGACAATAATAATATTAGCATAGTATTAGTATTAGTATTAGTAGTATTAGTAAATAGTCAACTAAATAATCGACTATTTTAGTCGATTCCAAACCTCTAAAAACGGCATAATAATAATAACAACAATAATATCATATATCAATTCTATTCTACTGACAGCCTCAAAAATTGTTTGTTGATAGAAGAAATCTCTTATCGAAAAAAGAAATTTATCATTTGAATTACTGGATACTGCCATTATATAATTATTATTATGCTAGATTTGGTTTTTATGAATTATTTTTCAAGTCTGGTGATAAATTTCTATGATTTTAATTGAAAAAAAAAATTAGCAAATCTGCTTTAGACTATTCAACAGCTACCTGGAAACTTGAAACTTTTGATGAAAATCATGAATGGTTAATCAGTCATTGTAAACTTGATGATTGTTTTCAAAATCTTTACCACTTAGAATGCAGGTTTTATAACAGCAATAAATTATTTAATAAATATTCAAAATCTTAAAAATACAAGCTCCTTGGGGTCCAATTATATTATTGAATACATTACAGTTCGATTATCAAATTAAAAAATTAAAATTATTTAAAAACTGCCATATCAATTCATTCAAGATCAATAATAACAAATATAGATTTTTAATACCTAATTTCACTTCCAAGAATTGAAGCTGAATATTTTTTTGTCAACCATTTCTATATGTCATTAAAACTATTGGAGAAATGTTCTGGATATCAATGATGGTAATCTGACTTTTGGGACAATTCTATTTAAAGTAATTAATTACATTATATTAAACTAAAAAGCCTTTATTTAGAAAAAGTTACAAGTATATTTATAAATCAGATTTTATCAAATTCTAATACTAACAAGGGATTAGAAAGGACCCATGCATTTAACAGGTTAATGAATTATTGATGAGTTCTAATCTTCTTTTAAAGAAGAATCCACTGCTTAAAAAGATTTATAATTGTGTTTTAAATTTATTCTTTTTAAGTCAGGCCCTAAAAATTTTCTTTATTGTTATCATTATTATGAATAAGTATCATAATAACCTAAATTTTGATATAATAAGTAATTTATATTTGCACAATTCTTTTCATTTTCATTATTATTATTATTATTATTATCATTGTTATTATATAATATGAATGTATAATTATTTTCACCATTGAAAAAATAGTTATGTTCTTGATTTAACCAAGAAATAGGGGAGTCTTTAAATCCATAGACATTTATTATTATCCAAGGTATAATTTTTAATAAATTATCATTGTTACTAATAAAATTAAAAATTAGTTAATATATGATGACTTCTTAAATAATTAAATTGTCAAATTATTTAGTATTGTATATTTACCAAATGTAATTAAATAAATTCAAAATCATTTTAGGTGGAATAAATCCACTCCAATTAAACATTAACATCTCATCAATTATTTCATGAGGTTCTGGTGGTTTATTAATAGAGATATAAGGATCAATGGTTTTATTATCATCTAAATTTATTCTAAAAAGTGAACCAGCAGTTAATAATAATTAACATCTGATAATATATTATAATTATAATATGATAGATATATGTTACCTAGAAGATTCAATAGTGGACATTCCAATCCAATCATAAAATTCCATTAGGTTCTCATTTAGAATTTCATTTTTTGAATTTGAATTATTTTTTTCATTATCTATTTCTTTAATAATATTGTTAAAATCTGGATTCATAATATTTTTAAGCTTTTTAAATTTCTTATTTAAATAAATTTTATTATGATTAGAATAATCTGGAAACTCAATTTCTTTTGTTTCATTTGTCACTAAAAAAAAGAAAATAATATTAATAAGATTGAAATTAAATCATTAATAAATAAATAAATAAATAAATAAATATTGCTTATTTTACCTGAATCAATAAAAAATATTATAAAAGTAAAATTATCATTTAAAGTATTATTAAAACACCATTTTATACGTTCATAACCTTTTTTTCCTGGAATCATTGATTTTTCTAATAAATTAATCTTTACAACTAAATAATAATAATAATAACAATAACAATAATAATAATAATAATAATAATATTTAATATTTAATATATAAAAATATTTAGTAATTTAATAGTTTAATTTACCAAATTTTTGAATATTTTTAAATTTTGATTTTTTCCCTGATAATCCAAGTTCTTCATATTTATCTTTAGTTAAATTTAATATTAAATTTCCTTATATTATTATATTTAAAATAAATAATAATGTTAATGTTTAATTAAAGTAGCAAGTGGTAATAATTATTATTATAAAATAGTTTTACCTGTTCCATCAATTGCAACAACATTTGTTATATCAATACCTTCTTCACACACACTTAAAGCAACAAGACTTCCTAATAAAATAAAAAATCATTGGTCAGCCAATCAATAAATCAAATTTAAAAAATAATAATTTATACCTTTTTTCAAATAATTATCAATAAAATTTTTTTCCAAGAAATAAGACAATTTCAAATCATCAACTTTATAATAAAACCATTCTTCTTTTTCTTCTTTCAATTTTCCTAAAAATATTTCTTTAATTTCTTTTGATTTATCATTAAAATCATTAAAATCATTAAAATCAGGAATAAAAATTTCAATTTTATGATTAAATGGATGTTCTAAAATTATTCTTTCATGATGTTGAGATTTTGATGATTTTGACGATGATAATGATTTATTATTAATTGAAGAGTATGAAATATAAAGTTTAGATTTAATAGGTTCGGGTAATTGAAATATTGATGACATTTTTTTTTGGAAAGAAAATCTTTTATGCAGATCAATTGTATAGAATTTAACGAACATAAGGAACATTTTTTTGCACACAAACACTTATGGAGAGATACCTGATCCATTTATAAGGGGGACTTACTGACCTCTCTGCTGCCATTTTAACTGTTGCAGGATATGTCTAGCTGGTGGAAGCAGCAGCAGCAGCAGCAATGATGACTTTCTATGAAGCCACAATTAGTTATAGGGAGGATTTGGATCTTCCTGATTTAGTGTAATAAGATTTACTTGTTATCGTGTTATGTACAAAATACAAAATTAATAATAATCATTGTGAGAGGGGAAAGGAGAGAAGTATATATTTTAAAGTAATATATTAATTAAGTTGATTGGTTGATTTATATAAAACAGAAAGCATGCATATTGTATATTAGCATTTTATGTAGTAAAATAAAATTTTTATCTACTACCTTTTCAACTCTGACAAAAATCTTCAAAATCTACAATAAAATCCAAGTGTCATGGATGGATCCAATTGTGAAATTGAAATTTTACGCAGTGACTCACAATGATAAGTAACATTTCCTAGATAATTTTATGTATATTAAAAAAAAAGAGTAAAATTATTACGAATAACAAAATAATTTCATAATGTTCTTTCTTTACTATTTTTTTTTTACTCACTTCTTCTGTGTATTCATCAATTGACTTTAATTCTAATGCTGGTCTAGAATAATGTGGATCAAGGTAAAAAAGTTCATCGTCTTGATAAACAAACAATTAATTAATTAGAATATTAATAAATATTTTTTAATAATTAATAAAATCATTTTTGTAAAGCCTAAACCTTATGATCCAATAAAATAACAAGATGATGTTGATGGTTTTCCACTAGTATAAATGTATAAAACATATTAAGAAAGGATTTATTAAAATTATTCTAACAATAATTATTACCCTGCAATCAATTAATAATTATATTTAAAAGCTCCTTCCATTTAAAAAACCTCCCTAAAAAGTTACCTTAGGAGCTTCATTATATATTGAATTTAAATTATTTATTTATTCCTAACCGAATAGATATCAAAATTAAAATTAATTGAGAACCTTTATTTAAACCATTATTTTTGGCTGACTTGTAAACATCATTTTAATATACTACTCCGTCAGTAGCTATATATACATTTAATTGTGCATCTGTAACATTTTCTACAAACGCTCTGAAATAATATAAATATAATTGTGAAGATCGTGAATGGAATTTATATAAATATTAAACGAATTTTAGTCTAGTCTATTGGGCCGTATCATCGTCTATAAACCACCTTATAATCTAAAATTCAATAATAGTTCTTGTGCCAGATTTTGCACATTTATCCCAAGTTTTCTCTCCTTTATGCCAATATAAAATTTATCATATAGTTATTTTGATGATAAAATTTGCCATTATTTATCTAAGATTGTTTTATATACCTCTTCCTAAAAATTGAACTAGTAAAGCATTTGCAAGTAAAGATTGACTAGATCTTATTGGTTTTATCGGTGGAAAATTATGTCGGTAGATACACCATATTCTTAAGTAAAATCTTCATAAAAAGTTGAAGGATAGCTAGAAGGTGATATGATTTGTTGCATCATAGCTCCAGGAAAAGTATCGAGTGTTGAATAGTAGTACTACTATTTTCTGGTTGTTGATCATCATCGCTATTACTATTATCATTGTCAACTTCATATGAAACACCCATTAACCAAACTGATTGATTTCCTTTGTCGTTGTCATATTAATATTTTATTATATTATTGTGATGAAATAAGTGAGGATTTATGAAATTATTTATTAGATAAAATCACCTAATACTAAACCAGTTCCAAATATTGTGAATATTTTGAATCTACAAAAATTTTTTTTTTTTAAATTTTAAATTTAAAAAAAAATTTCTGAAAGATGAGTTTAGTAGATGAAACAAGTTTTGTTTCTCAATTTTTAGAAACATTAAGTGCACGTCAAGTAAAATATCCCAAGGATTTTTCACCACCTGCACAAACACGTCCAAAACCAATAGTCAAGGTATTATTATTACTATTATTTATAATTATTACATATCGACATTATTATTTTTTTTACATTATAATTTTTTTTAGACACCTAGTGCCCCTACAAGTTCAAAAAGTAAAATAACAGAAAAGGGTAAAGAAACTATTTCAAATTAAATATAAAAAATATATATAAATAAATTTTTTTCTAATAAAAATTTGATCTTTTTTAAATTAGACACACCAATTCAGGTTATAGTTAAATCATTAAAAGGAAATCTAACACATACCGTACAGATAAAAAATTCAGAAACTATTTATAATCTAAAAGAAAAACTACAAAAAATTACTTCCTTTACACCTTTAAATCAAAGATTAATATTAAAAGGCAAAGCTTTAATTGATACTAAAACTTTGTTTGAATATGGTATTACGAATGATACTGTAATTCATTTGGTTCATAAACCTGGATCTACTACTGGCGGTGAAAGTAATCTTGTTTCTGCTGATTCTTCATCTTCTCCAAAAGCATCATCATCATCATCATCATCATCATCATCATCACCACCACCAGTATCAAAAAATGATTCTCAACTTTCTAATTCAGGTATTAATAAAATTAAAGATTCACAATTCTGGATTTCTTTACAAAAATTATTAGTTGAACAATTTCCAGAAACAAGTGACGCTGATAATGTTTTAAAAGAGTTTTTTAATTGTTATAATAATAACAAGGATTTAAACATTAATATTAATTTAGAAGATTTAATTAACAAAAATTCTTAAATGAATGTAAATAAATAATATAAAAATGAACGAATTAATAATCAATATATATTTAAATGTTTTTTTATATGCTAAAAGATATATATATTATCAATATTATTATTATTATTATTATTATATTATAATAATTTTTATATTTAAGGTTTTGATAGAACAGACAAAGAGGAAGCAATCCCACTACCATCTAAACCATCAACCTAAAATAGTAAAAGGGAATTGTTTTTTTAAAAAAAACCAAATTCTGAGTAATATTAAAGCTAAAGCTGTACAAAAACCGATAAACCAAAAAATGAATTTTCGATTTATATCTTACAATTTCATTATTTTTATTGAAAGAAAAAAAAAAATACATTTTTAAAAGATTATATTTAAGAATCACGATGATAAACTTTTACTAATAAAGGATTTTTCATTGGTAAGGTTATGGAAGAAATATATGGTGGAGGTGATTCTTGACCAGGTATTAGTTCAAACCTAAATTTTTTTAACATTGATGTAGCCAATGTTAATGCTTCAACAGTAGCAAATTGTTGTCCTAAACTATATAAATATAATATAAATATGTAAATGATTTTAATGCAAGTTATAAAAATTTGATGCAAGTTATAAAGTTTAACTTTGAAAACTTACCAGATTCTTGGACCAGCATGAAACGCAGGAAATTTAAATTGAGATGGTTTCAATACACCTTCGGAAGTTAAGAATCTATCAGGATAAAATTGTAATGCATTTTCACCCCAAATTTTTTTATCTCTACCCATACACCAAGGTGACCAAGCAACATTTTCTCCAGGATATACATGTGTACCATCAGGTAAAATATCATGTTTCACACACACCTAACAAATAGATAAACAATTTAAACATGATTATTATGTAAAATATTTCTTTTTAAAAAAAAAAATTCATTCCATATTTATAAAATAATTTACCTTGGAATTTTTTGGAACACCTGGATATAATCGAAGTGTTTCATACAATGTCGCTTCAGCATAATGAAAATTTTTGATACTATCAAATGTTGGAATTTGATTTTCTTCTGATGACAAAAGTTGATTCACTTCTCTAACTAAGGTATCTTCTACAGATGGATTTGTCATTAGACTATACATCATCCAAGTAAGTGCCTGAAAATGAAAATGAAAATATATATATATATATGTTATATATGCAAGTTTATTGATTCTTCCATTATAAAAAATTTACCAACATTTGCAGTTGTATCACGTCCTATTATATAAAGAAAATATTTCAATAATAAAATATGATAACATAATAATATCATGATAAGAAATTCACAACAAACCAGCAATAATCATATTAATAACCATGTCCCTTAATTCTTTATCTGTTAACATTTCGCCATTATCTTTTCTTGCATCCATAAATAATTTTAACACATCACCTGAAACATTCGATGATGATGCACTGTCATTGGCTTTTTTTGATTTTCTTTCTTTTATAATATTATATGCAAATTCATCCAAGTATTTAATTTCTTTTCTAATTCTTCTACCGGTTTCTGAGAAAATTTCGGTAAATGTCCAAAATGGATTTTCTCTACGTTGAGACATAGCTAGTTGCACATAATCAAATGCTATGGCAAAATGTAAGGGTTTACTTAATTGTTCAAGACATTTCATGTCGATTCCAAAGGATATTCTAAAAAATTCGTATTTGTTGGGAAAAAATTTTGTTTAATTGGATAATTATCATACTTTTAACAATTCACATTAGACAATGAAAAAATGATCACTAACTTTCCAAATGTATTCAAAGTAAATCTGTAAAATAAATCTTGTAAATCGATTGTGTCATCTTTGTTTGCTACATCATTCAAAATATTTAAAGCTGTCTTTGTCTCTTGTTCAAATACTTTACAAAAAATTTCACGAAAATTTTTAGTAGTGAACAATTGATTGGTAATTTTTCGATGAAATTTCCACATTTCGCTTTGTTTTTACATAATTATTAAATTATTGTTATAGTTATTTAATAATTTATTTTGTAATTTTATTTTATAAAGTTACCCGTTTGAACCAAAAATTCCATCACCAAAAAATTCTCGCATCATTTTTAATCCAATTTCGCCTTTCACATAATTTTCAAAGTTTTCTATCAAAAAAAGAGGGGATATATTATCAATTAAATTAAATTTATTCTTTCAATAAAAAAAAAAAAACTACAAACCTTTAAGAAACCATTCAATGTGTGAGGGTGAATTTAATAAAATAACCCTTCCAAATTGAGGCAAAGTAAAGGTTCTAATTAACACCAAAAAAAAGATTATCATGTATAAATAAATGTGTTGATATTATAATTAATTGATTTAATTAACAATGATGAAATAATGATTTCATACACGACGTTTCCGTATTTTAAAAACAAATCATTGAGAAAAGTTAAATAATTTTCTGATCGTCTTATAAGAAGTAAATTCCCGATAATTGGTAGACCACTTGGTCCTTTTAAATCTGCTCTATCAGTAGAACCAATTGCACGGTTTGGATATTTAATTAATAGATTAATAATATATCCACTTATTATAGTGAAAACTGTAAGAATAATAGTTAAAATCATTTTTTTTTTTTTTAAGAAACAAGAGAATATAAAAAGATGATAAATCTTATTTTGGTTATCTAAAAATAAATCATATGATAATAATCTGTTTGTTTACTTTGCCAAGTTTCTGGGATACCCAATTTATTTTAACTTCAGAAAAGCGTCAACCGTTTTTTTTTGTTGGCATAGTTCTCGAAGGACGTCTATCACACTTCTACTAAGACCCGGTTCTATCTGAAAACTATGATTCTATTTGAAAATCCGACAACCTTATCATCTGAAAATACACCTTTATCCGGATGGGTAAACATATATACAGAAAGGTTCTTTTTATGAAACATACAGAATCTGTGCGACAAATAAGGTTTAATTTTTAGAGTTGGTAATTCCTAGAGACCCCAGATATATGCGGCAACAAACATTAAATTATGCATGCACCCTTGGTAGATTATGCGCCCTTTATTATGATTTTTATAATAAATTTATTATATATACATGTTTTTTAATGGATGATGATTATTGTTGTTGTTGAGACATTTTCAAAAGTTTTATTCATGAAATTTTTTAATTGTAAGAATTTGATAAAAGAAAAATTTAATCTTTATTTATTATTATACTGATTTTTTGGAATTTGATTATTTATTGTTGTGTTTATCTTGTTTTTATTATTATTTTTTGTTTGCATTCATCTTTTTATTATTGTTGGGAAATTTGGATTTAATACTAATCAAACAAACAATTTTAATATTGTTATTCACTATAATGTGATTGGTGCTATTCATTGTACAGTTTTAAGTTTGTTGAAATGAGAGTTTGACTGTGGGTTCACTATCATTATCACTATAATTATGATTGCTATTATCATTGTCCATGTTGCAAATAAGTAAAGGAGAGATATCACATCTCTAAAGCAGATTAAATTTGAGTAATACAATTATGCAAATGCATAAATCTGGTGTCTCTATTCCTTATTCATTTGATAACTAATAATATTTTGTGAATAATTAGGTTTAGTTGATGCAAGTATATAATATATTAATATATTACAAGTTTATTAGAAAGCTTCTTTTTAGCTGGAGGAACTGACAAACTAGAAGATATACAGCTGAAACTATGTTGGAAGAATTGGGTATTATGGCAGAAGTTCAAGTTGATAAAAACTTGGTTCTCAAACTTTAAACTATTTGTGGGTGGATTAATCACTTATGTTGTATTAGTATATTTAGAGCAATGCCAGAAGTTGTGAGTATGTGACCCAATATTATCTGTCCTTATATTATTATGACCTAATTATGACATTACAATATGATTATGACATTATGACATGATTATGATATTACACCATGATTATGACATTACAATTTGAAAATGGATGCCTAAATATATTTATGACATTACAGCATGCCGAAAATCATAATTAGTTTGGACTGCATGTATAGTCAGGGTATCATGAGATTGTGCCTGAGTTAACAATGATAATTTCTGATAATATGTATAACTTATCCTTCACTAATTTTTACTATAATATACAGCAGTAACAGAACAGAACACATGATCTTGCAATTTTATTGGATAAATATCACTTTTTTTGCTGGTGATTCTGGGGTAGTTCTCTATAACAGACTAATACTAAGAATTCCATCCCAATTTATATGTCCCATATATACCAACAGACATTTTTTGTAATAGTAAGTCAAATGGTCTGTTATAGAGAAAGTGAACTCTACTTACATTATAAGTGATTCCATGCATAGCTCAAAACCAAGCTACACAAGAAGGAAATAATGATTCAATATATTTGAAAAAAAAAACAGAAATAAAACAAAAGCTCTTTTTGAAGATTGTAATTATTAATGACAATAAAATTTATTGTGTAAAGCAATTAAATGAATATTTATCACCAATTAGTTGATTTGGATGATGATGTTGGTTCATGCTCATGCTCATATTCAACTTCAACATAAGCAGCACCTAAAACAATTAATTGAAAAATTGAAAAAATCAGAAAAAATATCACAAAATATTAAATATTTTTTGCTGATTTTACAAAACTTACGAGATTTTTTATTCTGTTTGAATGTTATCTTATTTTTTCGTTTATTCTATCAAAAAAAAATATAATATATATTATTATTATTATTACAAGTTACTTTATGTTCGACCATCAATGAGATAGATACCTTTAAATTATTTTCTTCAACTATTTCTTCTTCATACTCTTCTAGTTCTTGTGAATCTTCTGAATCATCATCATTGTCAAATTCATCCTCACCCTCTTCTTGAAGAAGATCTTCTAAATCCTCCAACTCTGATTCACTATCACCTTCAACAAATTCATTTTCCTCCTAAAAAAATTTTATGATTACAAATAAGTATATGATGTCAAGCTAATAAATAAATAAAAAATCCATATTATATCACACAATCAATAATAATAGACATTTACCTCACTATTTAAATCTTCTACTTCACTCTCACTTGTAAGATCATCTTCAACTTCAACTTTATCACCTTCCAAAACTGATCTCCAAACCTTTTCATTAACATTAAGTGGTGTATCACCATAAGCTTTATTTTTCAACCGACCAATCAACTCCTTTTCTATTGCATGATCTAAATGTGCAGCTGCTTCAGCCTTTCGTTCTCTAGTTGATTCTCTCCTCTCAATTTTCTTTTTGATTCCAACAAGCTTTGGTCTAATGAATTTGTGTTTATTTTTGTGAAAAATATTTTTTAAGAATATAATATTAATAAAATACTACATCCACTAACCGATCTTTTAATTTTAACTTCCTCATCCGTATTAAATATTGAGTGATTTTTGTTAACCGTTGTTTGCATTTATGAATCAAAAAATTTGGCCAGAACAGTAACTCTTTATCAATCTTTTTTTTTTATAAATAAAATATTATAATCTGTTAAAATATAAATAAATAATTATTGATATAAAAAATTCTCAATATACCTGTTCTAAAGCTTTTTTATAATTTTTTAAAAGTTTTGTTTTTTGCCATATTTTTGCAGGAGTATGAGCTCTTTCAGCGATTTTCGTATATAAATAAATTGTACCTATCAAATAAGAAAAATCAATAATTAATTTTTAATTTTAATCAGAATATATATATATGGATATCAACGATTCCTAGAAACTAACCATTTATTTCACGAATAGTTGCATATTGACTATTTGCCAATGGACAAGATTGTCTACTACAAAATCCAGTGACATTATATTCATTTCGACAAAAATTCTGAGTTTTTGTTCTAAAGGGCAAAACAAAGGCTTCTTAATACATTATAATGAAGTAAAAAATAAACATATAATATACATATTTATTATACCAACTTGACTTTATAAGAACAAAAATTTTGGTTTATAACTTGCCAAATCACCTCATCTGACATTTATATACGTATATATAATTTTTTTTGGAAATGAAAAATTTTTTATCAGATGAATCGAATATTTGTACTACCAGATTTCAGGGCTAATGTGATGTTAGGACACCCCAGTATAACATTCACGTTTGTAAAAAATGAATTATTTTAAAAAAAGAATAAGAAAAGTAAGCACCCATATGTCAAATTAACTTATAATTATTTCTATAAATTTTTTGGATTCTAGATGAGGGTCATATTGATTTTCCAGATTATAACGAAAGAAAAGAATTATGAATATTAACGATGAAAATAGAAATGTAATTATTGGCCGAAAAATCAACGTCACGTCTTCAAATTGTCTAAGAGCAAAACGAACTTATTTGACGATTATGATGACATTAACAATGTTGATAATGAAGATCAACGAAGCTTTTTTAATACTGATGATATCAAAGGTGATAATGATTTATGTGATGACAGCATTATTGGAAACAATGTATCCGAATCTGGTGGTGACAATTCTGTCGAGTGTTGTGTCTGAATTTGGTGAAAATGCCATTGGTAATAATTATAACAATTATAATGATCATAATAATAGTGGTAGCATTATAGTGGTAGTAATGATGACAAAAACATAGGTCATTGATTTGATCATTTAATCATTAATAATAAAAATTATCAAATTTTTTTTTATTCTTAGAGTGAAGTTCCTTTCACAACGATCAATAATGTGTATTGTTGTACTATTCCATTTCTCATTAACATCCCCAACAGATTTCATTTAATATTCATTATTTATTTATTTATTTTACAAAGTGACTTCATTTTCATCGTCCTATATCATCAAATGATAATAGAAGCAACTAAGGATCAACTGAAAATTTATGTTGAAGATGACGACATCACTGTTACTGTTAATGAAGATTTTTTCAAATTATTCTGGCATTTCTTTTGAAAAGAATAAAAATAGATGAAAGCGTTAAAGCCCAAATCAACAAAGAAATAATGACATTACCTTTTAAGGAGAAGGTTAGAGGGAAGAAACGAATGGAAATTGAATGAATTTTTTCATCTTCGTTATTCATTTTAATTTGGATAAATCTTTGATTGGTGATAATAATATTAATAAAAAAAATGAATTAGTTTACATAAATGAAAAAACATTATATTACACTGGCAGAAAAATGAAAATTCAGTAATTTATTCTGCTATTTGAATTTTTGTTAAGTCTGGCCTGAATTATTTCTTAATTTGCAAAATTGTTTTTCCTATTAATTGAACTTATAAAGGGCTTCTTTTTTGCAGTTTGACCGTAATATCCTAAGTATATTGAATTGTTCTAGAGTTTATTTTGACAGATCCTGATGTGTCGAAGGTTTTGGTTGTTTCTTTAATTGCGACCTTATGATTTTTCTTAAGATCTCTACTCTAGCAAGCTACCTTTTGTCATGACTTAGAGAATAAAGCGAATGATTCGAATAATTCGAGTGAAACAAAAACGTACCATTTCAGTATGTCATGGGTTCCACGCCTATTCCGTATGTTTTATACGCAAAAAAGGATCTTTCATTATTATTATGTCGCACATTCCTTGCCTATTCCGTACCTCAAAAATTTTAAAAATCCGTTATGACAAGAATTTAATTATAGTCCGTTGTGGCAAAGTTTAACCGTATTAATATATTAATAACGGATTTTTGGAAAAAAATTTTTCTAGTTACCCAAACTAACTGCTAAACCAAGATTATGTATTTTTTAGTTAACAAAATATATTATTTAGTGATGGTGGCCAAAGCTATTTTTGAAAAAAGGTAGTTTCGCCCAATACATACTGTATAATAAGTACCTAATACTAAATCAATCTACTTTAAAATAATTTCGCCCAATTTCAGCCATTAAAATTTGTTTCGTCAAAGTTTAGGCCAATTAATTTCGGTCCACTAAGTTAAAGATAGTTTCGACCACCATCACTGATATTATTTGTTATTGACAACAATAATGATAATGTAATGACGAATAAAAAAGTAATACAGTACAATTTACATTTGTACAATTCATTAATAAATTCATTAAATCTAAATAATAAATACAACTAATGAATGATGGTGATTGTTGTAGGTTTGAATCAAATTATCAGTTCAAATCAAATCAAATCAAAACAGTTCAAATCAAATTATATATTCGAATCAGTTTGAATCAAAAATTAGTCGATTCAAATCAGTTGGAATCTCATTGATTCGTTCGGAGTATACATGAAGTCGAAATTGAAACCCAAAAGTCGAAATATTTCGACCTGAGAGATTAAAGTTGAATCAAAAGTCAAAATGGTCGAAATTACATCATACAATGAGCTGAACATACAGAAAATTAATCAAAGACTTCAAATCCTCATGGCTTGGTCAATATCTGGCTATTTTGAATAAAATAACTACCATTCGAATTCTCTCAATGAGGTGAGTCTAATGAAATGCAATTCGAATTACCAATTATCGAGATATTTTGGTTTATCATAATATCACAATAACTTGCCATTTATTGATGCTAAATCAACATTATTCAAATTGTCTATATGAGGCTATTCTAATGAGCCGTGTTCATTAAATTTGGATCACTGGTTCTCAAGATAAATAATTTTGAAATTATTAATTATAATAAATCATGTGATACGACCAAAATTAAATCATTTCGACTTCATGTATAATTAAATTAATAATAATAATCAATTATATCGTACAACATTTTAATGGGCTGTGCAATAGGTAGGGTTTGTATTCATGGATACCATGAATACTGTTAAGGGGGTTACACACTAATAAATCAGCAAAAAATCCCTTAAAAACACTTGATTTTAAATGTGTAAACAAAAAAAATTTGATTTTCCATATTCATTTTCTCAAGCTGTAACCATGTCCACACTGTGGGATACATATTTCGATGAAACACCTCTGAAAGATTATAGTTTTCTAGGCTTTTACAAACACCAGTCAAAACAAATAGACTTTACATCCTCTTTTTGAAAGGAGTCACACAAACTGAAAAAAGATCTTGCTAATCTAATGAAGGATGGCTCAAATGAAATGAAGTTTCCAGTCAGTTGGACAATAGTTATAAGGCAAAGTTCTTATTCAGTTTTTCTATCATATTTTTTTGCATTGCTGGCTGGCTTAAGGGAGGCTGAACAAGATTTTAATGGCTACTCTGCGCGCTGGCCATCTACTATCTTGTCTATTTGTACTGCATGTTGAGGTTTCAATGACTTCTCTTGCAGGAGGGAACCCACACAACTAAGGGTGGTATTCTGCGTGCTGTCCACCTTATGGTCTGCGTGCCCGTTGTGCTTGTCTCCAGCAATGTTTTCCTCTCTGAAACAGTTTACTAATTTCACACAAATTATAGGGGACATCGTAAATATTTCAAAGATGTTGACAAGTTCTGGAATCAAATTGAGAGATGCCATGCTGAGGTTTTTATTTAAAACATTTTCTGCATTTTCTGGACTAACTAAACTCTGGCTCATGACTTTTCTCAACTGCAGTTTGAGGCCTCTAGCTCAATTATGGAAGATACTACTGAAGCTTTTAAAACTTCTGTTGCAAGTGTCAATTTCTCCATCAAGAATGTAAATAATACAATGGTATGGAATTGAAATTATTAGTTTTTCTGTTTCACATGTTTACATTATGGAAATTGACATGTTTTATCAGTTGAAATATAATGAAGAGATTAAGAGTGTCAAGAGTATCAGACAAAATTCTGAAAATTCTGAGTTGGATGATTATGATTCTCCTATACACAAAGATGAGCTTAAGAGTGTCAGAAGTGTCTTAGGGAAAAGATGGAATTCTGAGTCAAGTGATTATGATTCTTCGACTGAAAGTGATGGCAATCAGTCCCCTTGTGAAATAGTAAAGAAAAACCAAATGAATCAAAAGATTATTCAGAATGTTTCAAAAAATGCTCCACCATCTTTGATTTCTATTATGCAAGAGTACTGCAAAAAAAATTTGACATCTAAGTTTGAGTGAGTTTATCCTGACAGAAAGTCCGTTGCTTTGATTCACTAATACTAACATAATTTACACTGATATGGCAATTTAGTCCTGCACATAGCTATATTCTTGATCTCTCCCCAAGATCAAAAATCGCAAAAGAATTTGCATCAGAATATTGGACCAATCTCATTGCTGATCATCCTAATGTAATTAATGTGGAGTATCATAAAGAATTGGAATCAATCTTTGATCATTTGTTTGGATGACAAAAAGAAAAAGTATAGTATCATTTTATCAGTCACAGGACATTGTGGTAGTGATGTTAGCCGGCTAATAATCTGCATGCATAATTTCTAAATTTGGTAATAGATTTCTGCGTTACTTTCTTGTTATAGAAATAAAATTACCAATTTCGGTAGTAAACGGCTTAGCCGGCTAACATCATTAGTGAAAACAGAGGCAAAATAAATCAGATCTATTGCTTGAAAGCCTTTGGAATTTTAACATCAAGTAAATTTAAAAAAAAATTTTTTAAATATGTATTATTTTACATATATGTATGATTTTGTAAACTCATTAATATTCTTATAGAAAATATATACATTATCACTCCCATTTCCTCAACTATATATATTTTAATGTATTGGAGAACAGTGTATAAAATTCGTGTGCACAGTGTGCATAGTTCACAACTCCCTTAAACTATGCACAATGAGACAAAAATTTTTGTGCAGACTCTCCACAAAAATTTTAAATATAGTGCACAAATTCAATGTATACACTGTTGGAGAATGTTCCTTTCCCAAAACAATTCCTAATATAGATCAATTGAAACATTGCTTTGAATTGTTAATAAAACTTAGGGTAAGGTTTTTTATAATTTAAAAATTACACATACTGATTAGACTTAGTTTTCATTATATTTAATGATCATCAATAGTTTCTTGTTGACAAGAACCTTGAGGAGTTACAAGATATTTTGGAGGCACCTCCTGGTGGGGGAACTTCAGATGAAGAATGGATAATTAAACAAAATTTAACTCCACAAGACATATTAAGAATTAAAAAAATGAAAGTCTCAGTCAAACTCATTATTGGCATTTGAAGATTCAGATGAAGAATGGATAATTAAAACAAATTTAACACCACAAAGTATATCAAGAATTAAAAGATATTCTATCAATGAAGAAAGTCCTAATCAAACTCTATTATTGGCATTTGAAGATTCACTTATTTAATATTAAAATGGTTGATATGTTATCTTTATTAAAATTAAAATTATATATTAATGGTATAAATATGGTATATCAAAATTTTAAAAAACCAAAAAAAACTTTTAATAAAAAAAGACATTTTTGCTATTGCTACGATTCTGCACAGGGAAACATCCACTATTAGCTTTGTTTTATTAGTTGTGATTTCTTTCTTCTTGGTAAATTTCATAAGTAATTCTTTCTTTTCTTAGATAAGCTTCCAGTGCCCGAGTATCATTTATTTTGAAAATGTAAGGAGCAATTTTTCACCTTGTTCTTTCTTCAAAATACTTCTGATAGTACTATAATTCTTGGGTTCCACATAGTGAATCTGATATAAATTAATTTCATATTAACTATTTTATATAGGGACAGTTCTATATATCACTTAACAAATGGGGCTTTATAAACTAATTGTGATGATAATAACTAAATTTTGATCCCTGAAATTTTTGGTAATACCAATGTTCACTTTGTCTG